TTTCCAACGTGGGAAAACCAAGGCATTATGGGAAGTAAAAGGACATTTCTATTGCTGGCAAGAGAACTGAGATCTTCTGAATCAGCTCGAGGCCTGCTGAATTGCCCTCATCTKTGACTGTTCCTTCTGCATGGAATTAAATGTGCATCAGTGGTGCCAGTGCCTTGGAATCTGTCTGGTGATTGCTTGGTTGTTCTCCAGGCTGTGCCGAGGTGTTTACAGCATTTTCAGCTCTTCATGATAAAAGCCACAGGTCAAATACTGGATTTTGAAATCTGGAACTTTGTAGCATCAAAGGAGAAAACATTAACAAAAGAAAGGTTATCATATTAGCCTCCCTTTTTCCTCTTTCCCCAATAATTTTATTACAAATTGTAGGAATTTGTCTTGCAGTTTCAAAGCTGCACAGCCACATGAAGTGATTGCTGCAGCCTGTATTTGCAGACGAAACAGAGCTGGGAGCAACTGTAATCGTTCACTAGCAGTGGAGACACACTGGAAATGTAGAAAATCCCGGGTCTGCATTGTATTTCCTGATAAATTCCAATTTGCCTGCCACTGTGACAGAAGGAAAGCTGAGATTTGATGAATGAAATTGAGACTCACTGTGAAACAGAGCAACACCTTTGAAGAGCTGCCAGATTTCAGCAAAGGTGAATAAAAAAGAAATAGACTTTTCTGAATAAGCTGCCTTTCCTCCCTTCAAAAACAAATCACCTTCTTGTAAATTATCTTCTCAGGTGAGAATCCATCCTTCACAGAACAGGAGACAGGCTGGGCAGCAGAGCCAGTTGATAGATGTTTAAAGACAAACCACCAAAAGGCAAGCATGTCTCTGGAAAACAGTATTAAGTAATATTCTAAAGAATGGCCACACATCATATTCACACAGATGCCAACAAGAAGCACAGCTCAGGAAGAGAAAAGCTTTCAGATAATCTCTACCTGTTATGAAGGCAAAACCTCAACATCACTAGCACATCTTAACTCATTTTCAGCAGTYGCCCTGCTCACATTTGATGTTGTACTATGTGTATGTTTCATACTGCAGTGCAGAGTTTTATCAAGAGGTTTATTCACTGAAATGTGCAAAATCTATTTAAAAGGCTCACTACTATTAATATTYCATGTCTCACATACTTATCAAATCCAGGGGACAGTGGTCGAAAGTGGAAATTTTTAAAAATGCTCCACATTGGTCACACGGGGCTGCTGGAACCACTAGCAAAAATACTGAGTATCAGTGTGCACGGAGTGATGCGAGTGTTTGTGCAGCCTTGTGTCTCTAACTAGACCAGAATTTAGGTCATTTTGCTAAGGATTKCGAGCTGTGATCACAGGCCCTATTGAGCCTTTCTCATCTAGATCCTCCAGGTGAAGTCTCCTGCCCACAGCCACCAGCAATGCTGATTGCAATTTAACCAGCAAAGAAAAAAAGACACTGTGTTGTGGCAGTGTGTAAGYGTGATTTTGTACAGCATTTGTAAGAAAAAATGCTGATGAAAGAAAAGATTTTCTTCTTTCCTGTCTACTCTTGAAAAAGGACTCCCACCTTGTTATAAAACGTGTCCTTATTTGGATACTTTTCCACCCTTTTACTGAGAAAACCCAGCAACACCTGAAGTTGATATCCATCAGCTTTGTTTTGGTCCTAGCAAGGAACACCTGGATCTGCAACATTAGCAGCAGGTGCCACGGATTGAGTACTTACTGGCTAAACAGCTGCCAAAAAAAAAAAAAAAAAAAAAAAAAA